ATAAAAGCACTGCGTCGGTACGACACAACAAATTGATGTTTTTTTTTTTCCTTTAACAACACCCACGGTTGGGTTTAGGAAAAAAGAACAGGTTTTGGCTTTCGAATCTTGCGGGACATGAACACCGCTCTCTTGGGGAAAAGTCGGTGTTTGTTGAACCCATTGACCCCTCCCTCCTGCCCTCCCCACTCGGACACCTTAACTTTCGTCCTTGTCCCGCCGCGTTTCCCTCTGACACCGCCGGACGTCATTAAACTATGACAGCAACAGGATGTATATCATGCCAACGTTAAAGGACGCCTTTTTTTGTTGGTTTCTGATGCCACATCACTGCTCAAGTACCAGATTTCTATGACTCTGGAGTGAGACCATGCTCGGTTGGACGTGTTTCAGCTAAATTCAGTAACAAAGAGTGTTTTCTGCCGACGTATGTTAATTTCTTTGTCATAGTTGTTTTTTTCGATCATTGAGTTGTCTGTGTAAGTCACCAGATCCAACCATATATCATCTTAATATCTATATTGTTGCCTAAAACATAGCACTGTCTCAAACTATGTAACCAACTCCAAGCAGCTGTCAGCTAGGCTTGATGGAATTTCAGTTTCAGTTTATTTAGTGTAAAATCACCATGGTAGAAACATGGTCTCAATACACTTTACAGAATCAATTACAATAAAAATGATCAAGGGAAAGAGTAGACAGCCAAATAAGCAAAAACACACAAAAAGACAAAGGAAAAACAAACAAGGATATAACAATTAGAAAACTCAAATTTCTCCAAAACATTGGGTAAAAAGGTGTGTTGGCTGGTGGATGAGCCACACCTGAATCCAGTTCTCTCATTAAGCCACTGGGTCTATATAGAAGGCTGGATGCATCAGTTCCAGTCTCTCTCTGCTCCTGGCTAACAGGGTTTGTGGGTTGTTTTGTTATGGTAGTTTAGTGGAGCGGCATGGCTCAATATTTTTCTCGAATCATTCAGTTTTGTGATAAAAGCACCAAATTTGGCAGATGTGTTGACAAATATATTTAGAACAAATATGGATATTGGGGCATCAGAAACTCGCCCCCTGGTGGCCAGAGCAGGCAATTGAATCCTACCTGCCCATGGACCCGTCCCGTTAATTGGATCCACTCCAAAATGTAATGGCTCCTGAGTTGGCCCATGCTACATGCCTCCACCAAGGTTTGGGAAAATTGGTTGGACAGTTTTCATGTAATCCTCATCCGAAAAATGAATGGAAGTGGATGGGCGGCCACGTGTGGGCGGCCCGTGGACACGTCCCCTGAGTTGGATCAACACCAAAATTTAATGTATTCTAATTTGGCATGTGCTATATCCCTCCACCGAATTTTTTTGAAAATCAGTCCGGCAGTTTTTGTATAATTCTGATAACAAACTAATAAATTGGGCAGCATAGCTAAAAAAATGTTCATTTTTGCGATAAAAGCACCAAATTTTGCACATTTATAGCTTAATATACTGGAATACAACACTTTGGTCACCCCCCAAGCTACTATTACCATGTTTTCAGCACCACAAATATAATGTAGAGACCAGTTAGTGAAAAATATGTTTCATTCTGATGTAGGACAATAGTAAATTAAAGACATCCAACACAATGGTGAGATTTATAGTTGTTTATGAGGCCATTTAACAATGTTCAGTGAACATACTTAACAATTACACTGTAACAGTTTGAACATATGATATCTAACTAGTGCAGCCATCTGCAGCAATGTGGAACCTTAATAACAGAGCTGTTTTTACAATGAGGCCTTGAATATTATGAGAAAAGAAGAAAGAAAGGGGGAAAACATTCATAGGTCACAGTGTCACTGTCACTATAATCAGGAGGCCATGAAATTGGTAGTGGATTATTTTTCTACAAATACCCAGCATTGATATCTCTATGCAGTTTCTTCACTTACACCGCTCTGTGCTCTCTAGTGTTCAGATATCCTGAATTAATTGAACTAAATCTATTTTCAAAATGCACATGAGAAATAGTTTAAAATCTACAGAGGATAATACGCATTCAACGTGGAGATAAAAAGCGTCTTGACGATCAAACCAAATAGACCAATCTATCTTGTTTAATATCTATATTTTTACACTGACACATTTTTACACATTTATAGAAATGTGTCTGTTAACATAATAAAAGGTGAAAACACAGGTGGGAGGGATGGCGGGTGGCCTCCACCTGCGGCCGGCGGCGTCAGGAGGAAACGCGGCAGAAAAAGGACAAGACTTGAGGTTGCAAAAGTCCGAGTGGGTTGGGTGGGAGCGTTGGTGGATGGGTGCTAGCATGGCTAGCTAGTTAAAATGTTGACTACGCCCACCACTGTGACGTGATTGGCTGAATTAAAAACAGATACAATTATGGCTGACATGGGATTGTGAGACTCTGATTGGCCACATTAAAAAATGATTGACAGATACACCGCCCTTCCAGAATAACGCGTACATACGTCTAAAATGGCGGCTCTCCAGCTCTGATTTTTTTTTTCGTATTTGAAATTACCGTTATATTATTTGGCACTATGAGCGCTTCATGTCCAGGTCAATTCACACACTTGTGAGTAAAGCATATAAGAGGAGAAGAGAGGGCTCCGTCTGATCTCTTCATAAACTAAAGTTATGTTATTTTGCGCGACAGACGCTTCATATAATAACATAACAATATACTATTTATCGTGCTATACGGTGAAACGTTTCACTTTATAACGTGATGACTTATATTGTTATAATGTGAGACTTACTTAAATTGAGGAATAGTGTACATGCATAGGTTGGAGGCACACACCTTTTTGATTGTTTTAATATATGTTATGTGATTTTACTATATATGAGTTGGTTGTTAATATATTTTTGTTCAAGAAATGTCAATTGTTTTAAAGATTATACTTTTATTATGTTCAATAAAATTGTATTTTCTTGAATCTTGAGACACCTCTTATGTAAGCTAGACGGACATTTCACCTGCTCATTACTGTGCACACATGTACTGTATGTACTTAGTCCTGCAGAGCCCTTCTGGTGTCAGTATACATAGAAACATCCCAGCAGGCTGTGCTTTGCAAGCATACAAAAAAGTTTTGCACCTGTGATTTTTTTTTTTCGTGCGTGTGCTTCATCTCCGCTGCTACAACTCCATCATAGGGGAAACACTGGATGATATTGTGTGACTTTGAAGAAAAGACTCCAGTTTCAAAATAAAACACTTGCACAAATAGTTTCTTCTTCTACACAGGATTTTACTGCAGTTTTATTCATTACAAAATATGTTTTCATTCTCTTTACAGCATCTGTTTTAGTCACTGATGTATATCAATATTTATAATGACTTCTTTTAGGAACGAGGCTGAGGACTCAGAGCTGGACTCAGTCACTTATTTAAACCAACCTATAATGTTAGAAAGCCTTTTAAATCAATGTTATCTGGTAATTATGGTTTCAAACAACTATCAAAAGTGATTTACATAAAACATCATAAATAATTATAATAATAACAAAAGAAATGAAAAGAACGCTAAAAAATTAAACAGTATAAATTGTGAAAGAATATAATAAAGCCCAATTTCAGTTGAGTAAACAAGTCTCTCTCAAAATAAACCAAAATGTGTCTGTTACCATAAAAAAGGTGAATAAAGACATTGTCCATATTATCATCTACAGAGATCAACAGAATTAAACTCACAGAAAAATAATGTCCACACCAAGTCAGTATGATCTCATAAAGGCAAACTACAATATCAGTACAACTGCATCCATAGACCTGTAAATTAAAAACTTAAAGCAACATTAATTATCACTACATCAATGAGTACAACCAATACCAGTAAACAAATATGGTTTGCCTTTAACAAGCCTCACATTTAAAAACAAATCCGCCCTTCATACCTTTATAGTGGTTCCCAACTGGTCCAGTAACCGGGTCCAGATTTCTGCTTAGCCATTAGTTCACTGTCCACATTTTAATATATTCAGCATCAAACTTGTGTTTGGACATGTGGTCACGCTCATTTGTGTCAAGTAGCTGTCTGTCTGTTACTCACTCTACAGCAGGAAACAGCACTTCAAAATAAAAGCTGTATGCCAGAAAACTTTTTTCCAAAATAAAGTCAGTTTTTTAACAAACTTGACACGTTTGCGAGTCACCAGCGGTTCACTCAGAATGGACCCACGACCCACCAGTTGGGAACCACTGCTTTAAACCAGTATTACCTGCTGTGTCATACTGTAGCATGAAAACTTTGCCTCGTATATATTTACACTAAAATGTAAAGATGAATTTAAAGGCACTGTATGTAACTTTACACATGTATTTGTTGTTTTTTATTTCCAATGGGTGAACCAGTTGTAACTTAAAAACAACTGTGGACTGATTTCTATGTAAAAGGAAATTCAAAGGATGTGATATTATACGTGTTCCCGTGCTTTGCCTCCAGCCCCCCAGGAGGTTGGGCTCTGAAGCCAATTTTCATCATGGAATTACAACAGCCGGGTCCCTAACATGATGCCCTGCAGCCCATAAAGACTTTTTCCCGCTGACTTACGAGCCTTGTCTCACTCCGAGTCATCGAAATCCGGCATTTTGGCAGTGACTTGTGGCGTCAGAAACCAACTAAAAAAGGTGTCCTTTAACCTCAGCATGATACGAGGCTGGTTGCAATTATAGTTTAACAGCGCCGGTGGGACAAGGATGAAAAGGTAAGGCAGCAAAAGTCTGACTACGGCGGGTGGAAGGGGTAGTGGATGGGTCCAACTTTCACCCGAGAGAGCGGTGTTCGTGTCACGTAAGATTCCTAAGCCAAATCCTGTTCTTTTTTTTTGTAAACCTAACCACGTGTGTTTGTTGTTGAAGAAAAAAAAACAACATCAATTTGCGGTGTTGTACCGAGGTAGCGCTTCTATTTTGAAAGAGACTGTATGTAAAGGGTAAGTTTCCTGTAAAAAGGGGTCTATTTTGAAAACAGACAATACATGTAACAGTCAGAACTTGACATGGCGTCCCAGAATGTCAACAACCAACACACCCAGGGTACCAGGGTTGTATTTTTTTGAGTAACACAGCCCCTGCAAATGGCCCACTCTGCAAACTTCACCCAGCGGCATGCTGCATCTTACTTCAGCTCTACACAGCTAACGTGAGCTAAGAAATGGTGTCTGATAACTGAAACAAATGGCCGACACCCACTATAACACTGAGTCCACATATGCTGTTTCAATTACCTACATTCTGCAGTGGCCGCTCGGCGAAGACTGACTGTCACCTGGTGCCCTGTAGCAATTCAAATTCAGCCAGAGCGAGACAAAGTGCCCTAAATTTTGCAGGCAGAGCAATGCTCTAACATGCCAAACAACCAGAATTTGTACATAAGATGGAAACTTAAGCTGTGAAATAAAAGGGTTGGTTGTTTAAACTGCAGAGAGGTCAGCTAACTGTTCCCTGGCTATAGACCCTCACAATGACATCACCTTGTTAGCTGGAGGCAAAAATCAACATGCCACAGGGCTGTAGGCTACATAGGAGTCTTAAAATGTGGTCTTGTTGTGTTAGTGGGAGCCAGAACAGAAGGAGTCATGGCTCAAAATTTTCATTTGATTGCATACCAGATGCAAAGGTTGCTTTGTAGCATCAGTTACAGCTAGCTAGCTACCTTTGCTGGCTTACTCGCTGATTTCACTAGAAAATACTATCTGAGTGGATATTAGCTAGCTTGCCAAATTACTTTCCAAGCTAATGTGATCCATGATACTTACATGGAGCTAACCACAAGCTGAGCTAAAGTTAGCCATCTAGGGTACATTGTGGCGTCAGCTGATTAAATAAGACTAAGTACCATGGAGCAAATGGTCCAACTGAAATATAGGAACATTACAGATAATGACATTTTTCTGAATATGATTGCAATTTATTTCAAGTATTCTGTCAACATGATGACAGTCAACCGTGGTTGGTCTCATGCTTGTTACTGTTTTGGCTGATGCCCAGGTGCTGGCTCGTGGCTACAGAGTTTGCACACTGGAGCATGGACAACAGGATGCTGATTGCAGTTCACTCAACGGCCTCAGAGTGAGGTGTCACTAAAAAAAGGATTTTGTGACAGCCACATACAGAACCTTAAATGAGTTTATGTATCGTTTCCAATGCTTTACTATTCCATAAATTGCTGATCTTAAAAAAATGATCAGCCAGTTTAATTGACAGGTTAGATGATCAGAGGTGCAGAATTTTTACCACCATTATTAGCGCAGGGGCCAAAGTATGGGAAGAGTTTCTCAGTGAAGGAGCAGCCAGTAAAGGAGTAGATAAGAGCTGCAGCATCTACGTCATAAAAGGAGACCAGACCCTCCTCATAATCCACAAACACCCCCACCTTCTGAGGACGAGACTTCAGAGAGAGACGGACTGTAGGATCTGCTAGAGCGATGTACTCATTTTCCTTTATCATCCATACAGTCCAGTAACCATCCTGGGGAGTCAGTGGGACGTCTCCCTTCCTGTTGACCGACTCTCTGGCCACTCCCAAAGCCCAGTCAGTCTTTTCTTTAACCTGAACCTCAAAGTAAGATCTGCCTGAAGAGAAACTCTGCTTTCCTAAGACACAAATATAACGGGAAAATCTCTTTGGGCTGTCTGAGAGATGTTTCTTCACATCAACATGTTTCACTTGTTTCCCATCATCAGACAGGATGAGATAGGGATTTGCTGTTTCAGGATCAAGAGTCACATCCACTGCATACTGCTGGACCTTCTTCATTTCAGTCTCAGCTACCAGCTTCTTCATCTTTTTATTGAGTGTCTCCTCCAGCTGAGACACAGCTCTCACCACAGTCCCCTCATATGATGGTGGACAGACGCTGACCTCTGTCCAGTCTTTGGAGAGTCGAGCAGCTTTCAGGGACTGGATACACTGGAGAAGTTGGAGGTGGTCTTCAGAGTGTGAGAGCTGCTTCACCTCAGTGCTTCTTTTCTTCAGCTCAGAGATTTCCTGTTCCAGCTCTTTGATGAAGCCTTCAGCCTGTTTCTGTGTCATTCTCTTCTTCTCTTCTGTTGTTTTGATGAGATCAGCCTGACCTCTCTCAACAGACTCCTTCAGAGCAGTAAAGACCTGAACACCTTCTGCTTTCACCCTGTCTGCATCTTTCTCACTGAGATCGACTGAGTGTTTGATCTCCTTAATCTTCAGTTGTCTCTTCTGGATCATCTGCTGAATTTCAGCCTCTGTCTTCCCCAGCTCAGCCTTCTGGTATTTATATTCTTCCCTCAGAGGAACAACATCATGTGTCTTGTGGTCTGAAACAGGGCAGAGTGTACAGACACATGTCTGATCGGTCTTACAGAACAGCTCCAGAGGTTTATCGTGCTTCTTGCATATCCTGTCTTCCAGGTTCTCCACAGGGTTGATAAGCTGATGTCTTTTCAGGCCTGACATTGTCAGATGAGGCTCCAGGTGAGTCTCACAGTAGGAGGCCAGACACACCAGGCAGGACTTCAGTGCCTTCAGTTTGGTTCCAGTGCAGACGTCACAGGGAACTTCTCCTGGTTTGGTTTCTTGTTGCTTTGAGCTGCTGCTGCTGGCTTTCTGTTGAGCTGACTGTCTGAACTGAGCGACCATCCCAGAGAACAGAGTGTTGACATGCAGTTCAGGTCTTGTGGTAAAAGTCTTTTTGCACATGGGACACTGGTAATGGTCATTAGTATTCCAGTGTTTAGTGATGCAGGTTTTGCAGAAGTTGTGTCCGCATGATGTGCTGACAGGATCAGTAAAGACATCCATACAGATGAAGCACCGAAACTGATCTTCGGATAGCAGAAAGCTGGCAGTAGACATAGCTACACACTGGGAACAAAATAATAATGACATTGCTTTTAATTTATACACAACTTTCCAAGCACTCAAGGACACCTAACAAGACAGTGATGTATCCATAGATCATAAACCAAACAATCCAGTAATATACAATGATAAGTTAGTAAAATAACTAGACCGAAATCCAAATAGGTATAAAAATTCAGTATAAACTCATCACCATAAAGTCATCATCAATGCATGTCTCAGTATGTGTGTCACCATTACATCAGAACGGATATGCCAGTTTGGAAAGGTGTGTTTTCAGACCAGATTTGAAAGTAGAAAGGGAGTCAATATTTTGAATGTCATAAGGGAGAGACTTTCAAAGGCGGGAGGCAGAACGGTTGAAGGCTCTAGAACCCATGAGTTCATTTGTAAGAGGTAAATCTTTTATGAAAGTTAAGAGGCCCATAAACATCAGTGTATAACTATGAGAATGATGTCAGGCACTAAGAAAAGGCTGGAAGGCAGAACGCACCTCGTAAAGCAAGGAATGGCAAGAATGTTCAGGTACCAACCTCCATGTTATTTAGAGTGAAAGAGAACAAAGACATTTTGCTCACAGTAATTTGGATTATCCCATGACTACTCAATATAAGGTCAGTGCATGTCAGACTACCTGACCTTATATTGAGTAGTCATGGGATAATCCAAATTACTTATGACACTTATGAAGTGTCCTTTTGACAAGTGTCAGTATGAACAGAAAAGATGAATTTTTCTCACTGAATACAGTCAAAGTTGTGTGTCAACAGACAATTGACCGGATCATTGAAAATGTTGTCTTCTTCACTCACCAGTGTTTGCAGAGATTCTAGCGGGTTGTTGACGAAGACTTTCTGAATAGTCCAATTTTTCTAAGGACAGAAACACAGAGACTTGTTGCAGCTGCAGCTCTTCTGTCTTTCTGGCAGTACTTTAGCTTCATTTCAGGAATGTGACGTTGACACTGTCCTGTTTTTCCAGTTCTGCCCCTTCTCACACTGCAGCTCTGTTAGAGAGAGCGTAAAGAGAGCATAAATGAGTCAAAAGTTACCATTGCTCCAGTGCTGCTGGGGAACGTACTCTATGTATTCATTACTGATTACTACATTACTACACCTTACTTGTGTAGGCTGATGCTGAAGTTAGCCTCGCCCTGGTTCCCTTGATAAAAAGTCTATGGGATTTTTCCATTGGACTTTGGATTACTGTCGAAAATAAGCTCTGTGGCGAACAAACGTTTATAATATTTATACATTTTGTTCAGTGAGGATTTTTGAAGCATAAATGAAATTGCCAGAAGTAAAAGCTAACTTTAGGCTATAAACAAACTACGGGGGAAGGGAACTGGTGATGCTGATGCTATGTAATATCTGGGTTTTAGGAATCATTACTGGGGCACTCTATTGGTCTATAATCTATTGGCTATGTCTGTGCCAACACCAAGGACGCATGGAGGTACGAGGGTGGAGATGTTTACAACATTTGAAACAGACGTATCTATTTTCATACCTAAAGGGAGCATAAATGAGACGTAAGTTCACATTGCACCAGCACTGCAGGGTATGTGCCGTGTAAAGTACTATTTATTACTGAATATGAACCATGGTAATGACCATGGTCAATTCGCTGATCAGCATTCCTAGCATCCGACCAGACTATATGGGTTTCATCTTGAGAGGAAAAAGTGAGGTAAAAAATTAGCTTGTGTACTTAAAATCAGGCCTTAAAGTAGGTTAAGATTGTTGTTGAGCTATGAAGGAAATGTTACTGTCTCTTGATACTGTTATGGACTGGCTTCTTTTGGTAAAACGGTATGTTCTGTTCTCTGCTCTGAATAAAGAAGTGAAAATTCTCAGCTCCAGCTCTGATTTTCTCCCTAAAGATTTAAACAGTCTTTAACCATTTGTATGTCACTACAGCTGTGTCTAAACTTCAACAACATAGCTGCAGTGTGAGAAGGGGCAGAACTGGAAAAACAGGATAGTGTCAACGTCACATTCCTGAAATGAAGCTAAAGTACTGCCAGAAAGACAGAAGAGCTGCAGCTGCTCTGTGTTTCTGTCTTTAGAAAAATTGGACTATTCAGAAAGTCTTTCTCAACAACCTGCTAGAATCTCTGCAAATACTGGTGAGTGAAGAAGACAACATTTTCTATGATCCGATCGGTCTATTGACACAAAACTTTGACTGTATTCAGAGAAAAAAATCATCTTTTCTGTTCATACTGACACTTGTCAAAAGGACAATTAATTTAAGTGCATGTCAGACTACCTGACCTTATATTGAGTAGTTATGGGATAAATTACCAACCATTCCTTGCTTTACTGGTTGTGTTGTGCCCTCCAGCCTTTTCTTAGTGCCTGACATCATTCTTATAGTTATACACTGATGTTTATGGGCCTCTTAATTATCATGAAAGATTTACTTTTTTATGAATTGACTCTTATTCCCAGTGTGTAGCTATGTCTACTGCCAGCTGTCTGCTGTTCGAAGATCAGTTTCGGTGCTCCATCTGTCTGGATGTGTTCACTGATCCTGTCAGCACATCATGCGGACACAACTTCTGCAAAAACTGCATCACTCAACACTGGAATACTTATGACCATTACCAGTGTCCCTTGTGTAAAGAGACTTTTACAAAAAGACCTGAACTGCATGTCAACACTTTGTTCTCTGAGATGGTCGCTCAGTTCAGACAGTCAGCTCAACAGAAAGCCAGCAGCAGCAGCTCACAGCAACAAGCTGCCAAACCAGGAGAAGTTCCCTGTGACGTCTGCACTGGAACCAAACTGAAGGCCCTGAAGTCCTGTCTGGTGTGTCTGGTCTCCTACTGTGAGACTCACCTGGAGCCTCATCTGACAGCTTCTGGCCTGAAAAGACATCCGCTGATCAACCCTGTGGAGAACCTGGAAGACAGGATATGCAAGAAGCACGATAAACCTCTGGAGCTGTTCTGTAAGACCGACCAGACATGTGTCTGTACACTCTGCCCTGTTTCAGACCACAGGATGCATGATGTTGTTCCTCTGAGGGACGAATACAAAAAAAAGAAGGCTGAGCTGGGGAAGACAGAGGCTGAAATTCAGCAGATGATCCTTAAGAGACAACTGAAGATTAAGGAGATCAAACTTTCAGTTTACCTCAGTGAGAAAGATGCAGACAGAGAGATAGCAGAAGGTGTTCAGGTCTTCACTGCTTTGAAGGAGTCTGTTGAGAGAGGCCTGAATGAGCTCATCAAAACGATAGAGGAGAAGCAGAGGAGGACACAGAAACAGGCTGAAGGCTTCATCAAAGAGCTGGAACAGGAAATCTCTGAGCTGAAGAAGAGAAGCACTGAGGTGAAGCAGCTCTCACACTCTGAAGACCACCTCCATCTTCTCCAGTGTTTTCAGTCCCTGAAAGCTGCTCGACTCTCCAAGGACTGGACAGGGGTCACCGTCTGTCCACCTTTATATGAGGGGACTGTGGTGAGAGCTGTGTCTCAGCTGGAGGAGACACTCAGTGAACAGATGAAGAGGCTGGTTGCTGAGCCTGAAATGAAGAGGGTCCAGCAGTATGCAGTGGATGTGACTCTTGATCCTGAAACAGCAAATCCCTATCTCATCCTGTCTGATGATGGGAAACAAGTGAAACATGTTGATGTGAAGAAACATCTCTCAGACAGCCCAAAGAGATTTTCCCGTTATATTTGTGTCTTAGGAAAGCAGAGTTTCTCTTCAGGCAGATCTTACTTTGAGGTTCAGGTTAAAGAAAAGACTGTTTGGGCTTTGGGAGTGGCCAGAGAGTCGGTCAACAGGAAGGGAGACGTCCCACTGACTCCCCAGGATGGTTACTGGACTGTATGGTTGATCAAGGCAAATGAGTACATCGCTCTTGCTGGTCCTACAGTCCGTCTCTCTCTGAAGTCTCGTCCTCAGAAGGTGGGGGTGTTTGTGGATTATGAGGAGGGTCTGGTCTCCTTTTATGACGTAGATGCTGCAGCTCTTATCTACTCCTTTACTGGCTGCTCCTTCACTGGGAAACTTTTCCCATACTTTGGCCCCTGTGCTAATAATGGTGGTAAAAACTCTGCACCTCTGATCATCTTTCCTGTCAATTAAACTGTCTGATCATTTTTTTAAGACCAGCAAGTCATTGACTAGTGAAGCATTGGCAACGATACATATTGCTGTACTCACAGAAAGCTCTGTACATAACTGTCACAAATTATCAATGATACCTCTTTCTGAGGCTGGTAATGGAACTGCAGTCAGCATCTTGTTGCTTGCACTCTGTAGCCGCAGGGTATCACCTGGGCATCAGCCAAACATGACCACAAAGACTGACCATGACTGACCATCACCATGTTGACTGAATGCTGGGAAAAACATTACAATCATATTTAGAATAACATTACAATCTGCTATGTTCTTCTATTTCATTTGGACCATTGGCTCCACGATACTATCTTGCCGTTTGCAAATCAGCTAGTGCGATGACGCAACCTAGATGGCTAACCTTAAGATACCGTTAGCTCTTTGGTCGCCCCAGCATCGCTCTTGGCTAGTAGAAAGTGCTTCATACAATTACATAATTTATTGGTGGGTAAATCAGTATCATCTGTCATACAAAAGTCAGTATGTTGAATCATGTTAGCTGGGAAAATAATTCAGCAAGCTAGCTAACTGACGTATCCACTCAGATAGTATTTTTGTAGCAATACCATTAGCAAGTGAGCCAGCAAAGGCAGCAAGCTAGCTGTAGCTAAGCTACACTGTTTTGATCTGGTATTGGTTGCTTCATAAGATCAGCTGATAAAGTCTCTTGCAAATGGCAAGATAGCTAATTTACAGCCGGATCAGTCCTGGAGTCTGGATTAAAAAATGACGTTAATCACTAAAGACAGTGTTTTTGCTATGTTAGCTGGCTAGAAATTCCCCCGCATTAGCAAGCAAGCTATAATTAGCTAACACTAGCCAGCTAAAACCAGAATATCAGAATGTATTTCACATGTCAGTGATTCCTGTAATGACAGGATATCTTTTTCCTCACCAGGGGGAAACAGAAATTATGATACTGAGCACTGAATTTGATGGATTTACTGTTCATCAGACAACAAACGAGACGAATTAGCTAGCTAGAACAGCCCACCGACCCGCCGCTTCACAACCTGCTGCTAAGATGGCAGCTCAGACCTCAGCCGTTTTAGCAACTTGAATTCAGCCACTGCAAAACCAGGTGGCCGGGTGCTGCTGAGCGGCTTACTTCCACCAGCCGAGCTGACAACTTCCAGTTTAGCGCTTCGTTAAATGAATAAGGAATTAAACGATTCACTCTTCTAGACTGCAATGTTATCAGACGGAGTGGATCAAATCCTGATAATGAAATGAATCCTTTTATGTGGGCTATGTCACTCAAAAAAATGCACCCACTGATTATGTCTTTTTCACCAAGTAAGTCAGCGGGAAAAAGTCTTTATGGGCTGCAGGGCGTCATGTGAGGGACCCTGCTGTTGTAATTCCATGATAAAAATTGGCTTCAGAGCCCAGCTCACTTCCTGGGGGCCTGGAGGCAAAGCACGGGAACACGTATAATATCACATCCTTTGAATTTTCCCAATAAAATTCTTCCTGAGTCTTTTACATAGAAATCAGTCCACAGGCTGTTAGAGGCAGCCGTTAGAGGCTGAGCAGGTCTCCATTTTTAAGTTACAACTGGTTCACCCATTGGAAATAAAAAACAACAAATACATGTGTAAAGTTACATACAGTGCCTTTAAATTCATTTTTGCATTTTAGTGTAAATATATACGAGGCAAAGTTTTCATGCTACAGTATGACACAGCAGGTAATACTGGTTTATAGCAGTGGTTCCCAACTGGTGGGTTGTGTAGATTTGTAGATTTATTTATTTTGAAATCAGGGACAGTACATATTAATAAACACTTTTGTGTAAATATGCAGGATTATAGCCAGTAGCTAATTTCCATCCTTTGTCCCTAGGCAGGTTGGTGTTAACAATATACAATCAATAAAACAATAATGGTAAAAAGTACAATAGGCAGACTAACAGACAATAAACCATGTTACTCATAACAAACCGGAAATTAAGTGACCATAGGAGGTCCATTCTGAGTGAACCGCTGGTGACTTGCAAACTTGTCAAGTTTGTTAAAAAACTGACTTTATTTTGGAAAAAAGTTTTCTGGCATACAGCTTTTATTTTGAAGTGCTGTTTCCTGCTGTAGAGTGAGTAACAGACAGACAGCTACTTGACACAAATGAGCGTGACCACATGTCCAAACACAAGTTTGATGCTGAATATATTAAAATGTGGACAGTGAACTAATGGCTAAGCAGAAATCTGGACCCGGTTACTGGACCAGTTGGGAACCACTATAAAGGTATGAAGGGCGGATTTGTTTTTAAATGTGAGGCTTGTTAAAGGCAAACCATATTTGTTTACTGGTATTGGTTGTACTCATTGATGTAGTGATAATTAATGTTGCTTTTAGTTTTTAATTTACAGGTCTATGGATGCAGTTGTACTGATATTGTAGTTTGCCTTTATGAGATCATACTGACTTGGTGTGGACATTATTTTTCTGTGAGTTTAATTCTGTTGATCTCTGTAGATGATAATATGGACAATGTCTTTATTCACCTTTTTTATGGTAACAGACACATTTTGGTTTATTTTGAGAGAGACTTGTTTACTCAACTGAAATTGGGCTTTATTATATTCTTTCACAATTTATACTGTTTAATTTTTTTGCGTTCTTTTCATTTCTTTTGTTATTATTATTATTATTTTTGATGTTTTATGTAAATCACTTTTGATAGTTGTTTGAAACCATAATTACCAGATAACATTGATTTAAAAGGCTTTCTAACATTATAGGTTGGTTTAAATAAGTGACTGAGTCCAGCTCTGAGTCCTCATTATAAAGTCATTATAAATATTGATATACATCAGTGACTTAAACAGATGCTGTAAAGTGAATGAAAACATATTTTGTAATGAATAAAACTGCAGTAAAATCCTGTGTAGAAGAAGAAACTATTTGTGCAAGTGTTTTATTTTGAAACTGGAGTCTTTTCTTCAGTCACATAATATCATCCACCTGCAGAGCCGAAGAGCTGCCATTTTAGACGTATGTACGTGTTATTCTGGGAGGGCGGTGTATCTGTCTATCATTTTTCAATGTGGCCAATCAGCCAATCACATCACAGTAGTGGGAGTGGTCAACATACTTGTCAGCACTTGCTAGCATCTACATATCAACTCCCCGATTGTAACGGATATGGATAACGGATATAAAGTAACTTCAACCACTGGTCATTTTAGAAGGACCACCTCAAGGAAGCAACACGTTCTCACTCCGACCTTGTCACATATCAGTGTTTGGTCATGGACCTTTCAACATCCAGCAAAGTGATGGTACGCTTCCTCAAAACACATCTGTGTCATTGTGTTGTGAGATCAAACTGGAAAAGGACAAAAAGGATGGGCGCTCTCTAACACCGGTTTTAAAGAATTTGCAACCAAAATTTGAGAGACACATATCTCTTGAGTGCATAAAAAATCTTAGGTCCTTCATTCAAACCTGTAAAAAATGGGAACAAAAACAAAAGTGTTCATGTGCATTTATATTTTTGTTCATTGTATTATCATGTCTGTACCTCGAGGAGGAAACACAACCTCACAAACAGAGCTGCTGTAAGAGGCGGAGCAACACTGAAGGGAGGAGGAGGAGAGCTTCAATGTCAAACTCCTGAAGTGAAACTCAGTGTTGGTCAGTGTGACAGCAGAGCTGCAGCCCAGACGAGTCTGTGTGTTTCTGTCTGAAGAAACATTAAAGTGAGTTCATCAGGTGTTTCCTCAACAACTGACTCAAATACTGGTGAGTACAGCTGATCATATTTACTGTGTTTCAACAACCAGCATTAACACTAAACTTACAGCTCCAATCAAACAGGAAGTTACACTCTTTTCATTTCACAATGACACTCGTCAGATCTACATTTCACTTCAGTGTAACATTCCTGTAGAATTCCAAATAATGTTTCACAACATTGCCGTAATAATACGCACCTTTAATGCAAATAATAAATGCTTGCGTAACAAACATTTTTATGGTACTTTGACTTTGCTTTCAGTGTGTAGATATGGCTGCTGTCATCAATCTGCTATCTGAAGATCAGTTTCTGTGCTCCATCTGTCTGGATGTGTTCACTGATCCTGTCAGCACACCATGTGGACACAACTTCTGCAAAAACTGCATCACTAAACACTGGAATATTAGTGACAGGTGCCAGTGTCCAATGTGTAAAAAGGTTTTCGACACAAGACCTGAGCTGCGAGTCAACACTTTCATCTCTGAGATGGTCGCTCAGTTCAAACAGTCAGCTCAACAGAAAGCCAGCAGCAGCAGCTCACAGCAACAAGTGTCCACACCAGGAGATGTTCCCTGTGACGTCTGCACTGGAACCAAACTGAAGGCCCTGAAGTCCTGCCTGGTGTGTCTGGCCTCCTACTGTGAGACTCACCTGGAGCCTCATCTGACAATGTCAGGCCTGAAAAGACATCAGCTGATCGACCCTGTGGAGAACCTGGAAGACAGGATGTGTACGAAGCACGATAAACCTCTGGAGCTGTTCTGTAAGACCGACCAGACATGTGTCTGCATGCTCTGCCATGTTTCAGACCACAAGATGCATGATGTTGTTCCTCTGAAAGAAAAATATGAAGAAAAGAAGGCTGAGCTGGGGAAGACAGAGGCTGAAATTCAGCAGATGATCCAGAAGAGACAACTGAAGATTCAGGAGATCAAACACTCAGTCGACCTCAGTGAGAAAGATGCAGACAGAGAGATAGCAGAAGGTGTTCAGGTCTTCACTGCTCTGAAGGAGTCTGTTGAGAGAGGCCTGAATGAGCTCATTAAAATGATCAAAGCAAAGCAGAGGAGGACACAGAAACAGGCTGAAGGATTCATCGAAGAGCTGGAACAGGAAATCTCTGAGCTGAAGAAGAGAAACACTGAGGTGAAGCAGCTCTCACACTCTGAAGACCACCTCCATCTTCTCCAAAAGTTCCCATCTGTTAAAGATGCTCCATCCACCAAGGACTGGACAGGGGTCAGCATCTGTACAACCTCATATGAGGGAACTGTGGTGAGAGCTGTGTCTCAGCTGGTGGAGACACTCAGTAAAGAGATGAAAAAGTCGCTTGAAGCTGAGCTGAAGAGGGTCCAGCAGTATGCAGTGGATGTGACTCTTGATCCTGATACAGCAAATCCCTATCTCAGTGTGTCTGATGATGGGAAATAAGTGAGCCATGAGGATGACTGGAAGATTCTTCCAAACAACCCAGAAAGATTTTCTAATTGTATTTGTGTTTTAGGAAAACAGGCAGATTTTACTTTGAGGTTCAAGTTAAAGACAAGCCCACATGGTCTTTAGGAGTGGTCAAAAAGTCGATCAGCAGGAGGAGAGCAATACCAATGAGCCCTGAATGTGGTTGCTGGACCATATTGCTGAATAAAGGAAATGAATACATACTTGCCGATCCTCCAGTCCGTCTCTCTCTGAAGTCTCGTCCTCAGAAGGTGGGGGTGTTTGTGGATTATGAGGAGGGTCTGGTCTCCTTTTATGACGTAGATGCTGCAGCTTTTATCTACTCCTTTACTGGCTGCTCCTTCACTGAGAAACTCTTCCCATTCTTCAGTCCCAGCAAGAACGATGGTGGTAAAAACTCTGCACCTCTGATCATCTCTCCTGTCAATCAAACTAAGTAGGTTGATGCTATTTTAAAGCAAAGATGCACAATCATGTCAGCGAACAAATGTCTATCTTCAGTGACTTCATACATT